TATTATCTTTGAAGTTTTAAATTTTTAAAAAATTTTTATAATTTTAATTATTTTTAACTTTTTAAACTTTTAAATTTTTACATTTTTTTTAAATTTTTAAATTTCAGATTTTAAATTTTAATTTGAAATTTTCCAAACTCCAATTGTAATTAAATTTTATTCTTTGACTTTTAGAAATTTGAAATTTTGAGAATTTGGGTTTTTAAATTCTTGATCCTCAATTGCTTGGGATTTTGGGTTTTCCGGAATTCCAGGGAATTTTGGATTTTTTGGATTTTCAAACTTAACTTTGAAAAATTTTTTAAATTTTTAAATTTTATTTTTAGTCTTTTAACTATTTTATATTTTACATTTTAACATTTTGAGAGTTGGAGGATTTGAAAATTTTGAGATTTTAATTATTTTATAATTTTTGGATTTATTAATTTTAAATTATTATTTATTTTATTTTTATTTTCATTTTATTTTAACTAGGCTAACACTTAGAGCTGTAAATAGATAAGAAAACTAGTCAAGTCGAATTTAGCCGACGGACATATTGACTGGGCTTATTGCCGGCAATATTAGTTTTAAGTAGTATTAGTATTATTGACGGGGTTATTACCCTCAATAATTAGTTTTAGTTATACACACACTGAGCGGGTTATTGCCCCCAGTGTTAGGTTAAGTTAGGTGTGACGGGGTTTATTGACCCAAATCAGGACACGCTGGGTCTCTTGACCCAGAAAATCTAGAATTAAATTAAACTAAACAGTAATACTCACCCCTGACACACCGAAGGATGTTCGGCATTAGAACACCGGACAGGAAGGTCGACCGCGCCGCAGCCTCACACCGTGACCGGGTACCCTCGCCACGGAGTGACTCCTCACCTGAAAACACATCTAACGTAAGAAGGAGTATCGGCGACTGGGAACAAGGAAGAGTGGAAGCAAAACCCGCTCGCATCCGTACCCCAGAAAAGACAAAAGGGCCAGTAAAAAGAATCGTTTTTACTAAAGAAACTAACAAAGTGGTGACCCGAAAAGACCCTACAGACCTCACAGACTCGACAAGTCCCCCAAAGTATAGCACAAAACTGGCTGAGGCAAGGGCTTGTGTGACTAAGGCCAAAGTAAATCTTGGCCTTTCTAGAAACACAAAGACAGAGATAAAAGAGGCAGTGACGCAAGCGGTCGACAGGCTGTACCAAATAATCAAGGAGTTGGAAAGTAAAGAGAAGAAGGCAGCAGAAGATAAAACGATAGATGATGGCACGGAAAAGGGCAAAGAACGGACTAAGGAATGTGCTGAATTAGTGGATAAGATCGAAAATCATGCAAAGTTAATTAGGGAAAATAATGTAAAAATGCAGGAGCTACAGAATACACTGGAGAAATACCATGGCCGACAAGAAAAAACACAGCAGCAGCAATATACCTATGCTAGGGCAGTAACACAGGAGAGGAAAAGCCCTGCACAACAAAAGTCTCTGCTCTCAGTTGTGATAACATCGAAGGACGAAATGGATACAGGAGAGGAAGTGTTGGAGAAAATAAGGAAAGCGGTGAGAGCAAAGGAAGGTGGCATAGTAGTAGAAAACATTAGGAAGGCAAAAGACAGAAAGATCATTGTAGGATGTAAGACGGAGGAGGAAAGAAGGAAATTAAAGGAAAGATTAAAGAGCGCAGAAGAACACCTGAATGTGCAAGAAATAAAGAACAAGGATCCTCTGATCATACTGTTAAATGTATTCAAATATAACTCCGATGAAGATATTATTGCTGCGTTAAGGAACCAAAACAAGGGAGTGTTGAGCGACGGAAATGACAAGGAGGAAAAGTTAGAGATTGCATATAAAAAGAAGGCGAGAAACCCACTAACGCAGCACATAGTGATGAGAGTTGACCCGCAGACCTGGAGGAAACTGACCGATGCAGGCAAAGTTCAAATCGACCTGCAAAGGATCAGAGTCGAGGACCAGTCGCCACTCGTACAGTGCTCGCTCTGTTTGGGATACGGACATCCCAAACGCCTATGTAATGAGAAAATCGAGAAATGTAGCCATTGTGGGGGGCCACATAGGAAGAGCGAATGCGCGGACTGGCAAGCAGGCTCAGAACCATCATGCTGCAACTGTAAATTAGCAAAAATGGACAAGGCAGACCACAACGCGTTCAGCCAGGAGTGTCCGGTGCGGGAGCGATGGGACTCGATAGCGAGATCCTCAATCTCGTACTGCTGAGGTCGCACCGGGCACTCAGGGCTGGACGGTTGGCAGAGCTCAACGACATTGCTCTCTTCAAACCGAACCGGGGACAGAGAGTGTGGTGTTGGAGGGAAATGCCAACACCTGGAATGACTGGCGGGGGGGTCGAAGAAAAGGGGAAAACATCAATTCGGACCACGAGGTGATCCCAGTTAACATCAAATTTAAAAACTACCAAAGAAAAGACAGTAAATGCACCATTATAAAACTAAATACAAAAAAGGTTAACTGGAAAGTATTTCGGAAAAATTTAATAAATGTTTGGATTGAAAACAAAATTAATACAAATAACGTAAATAAAATTGGAAACACGAAAAATTTGGAAAGAATTAGTCAAAATTATACTTTACTACAAAAGGATTTTAAAAATAAGAACATAATAATAAACTTACCTTGTTGGCCGACCGAAGACCCCATCGCCGGACGAAGAAAGGTCCCTAGTGTTGCTCCGGCCGGGAGGAGATGGGCCGCAGATCAGCACCTGAAAATAAAAAAGAGCAAGAGTCAGAAAACCAGCTTTTGTGGACGAAAGAACAGAGGGTTGATGTGGGACGGGTTGTATCGAACGACAAGTTGCATGACGAACGGACATGAGGACCTTCCCATCATGAAAGATGGGGAGGCCTCAAACCAAGAAAACAAATATACCGAAGATCCAACACCGTCGGAGGGTGCTGCGGAACACGTAAAGCTGCAAATAAGACTTCGAAAACAAACAGTGGAAGACATGATGAATCATGTACTCAACGGTTCTTCAGAAGGAACTTACGTAGTCCGCAGCACCCCCAAGTCGCAAGAAAGCTCCCTGCGCCGACGGCCATACCACCATGCTCGACTCGGATCTCCACCTGGCTCAAACAAGAGGACCCCAAAGACCGGCTTGTCTCCCCGCTTGGTGAAGGGAGAAGTGGGGATACCTGGAAAAGATAAAGATAAAATTATAGGAGGACAAAGAGTGGGGACAAAATAGAACATCCTGGGTGAAATTTTAGATCAGTTAAATTTAGTTAAAGAAATTTTGTGGTAGATTCAATATAGGGACAAATTTGGAAAACAAGTCAAAATTGTATTAATGGTGCTTCCTTGTATGTATTCTTAAATACATAGAGAGAAGCACCATCACGTAGCCATATCGAAGATACTAAAAATTGTCAAAATTATAATTATAAACGCAAAGAAAAAGGCAAATGTAGGAAGTTTAAGATTAAAATTGTAAAAAAGGAAAGAGCAAAAATCAAATAGTAAAGTAAGTTTTTAATGTAAAAGTTGAGGCAAATCGAAAATTGTAAATTTAAAAACCAAAATTTTTAAAACGTAGTAGAAAATTATTTAATAAAGATGAATAAAGGCTCTGACCCATATATGTCAGGGGTGAATGCGAGGGCGGCAAAAAGCCGTCCTCA